TAGCCCTTCATCAAGTTGTTTGTCCCATAAGGGCATTAGTCCCCCGTAAACCAAGAACCCAACTTTGTATATTATGCCTCAATTTCCTCCTTGCAGGTATACGTAGTGTCGTAAATTTTTAGTGAGTGGTGGCCGGTAATCAATAAGGTAAGCTCCCTTTTGCAATTGAAATAACTTCTTTATTGGTCGTTTAGGCGAGATGATGCGTGATTAGAAGGGGTTGAGGACTAAGATGAGAATGATAAGAGATGTTGAAATTATGGAGTACAGAGATAAGTCGGGTGATGGTTAATGGCAGTTATTGATGAACGGTTTGGTTATTGAGTTTCCTATTATTTCTGTGTTGGGATACACTCTGTCGATCCTACTAGGCTCGATCAATAGTAGTCCCAACTAACTGGTGTTTGGCGAACGGCAACTGCGTATACCCTGTGCTAAAGTTTTTTTTGCATCAGATTTTAATTGCGTATGCAGCTATCTAGCTATGACACAATATCAAAGAAATCTACAGAAAAGATGACTCAATTTACAAGAAGAGCACTCAAGCCTCGGATTTCATTTGCGAGTACCACTGCGAAGTTATGGTGGCTTTTTCTTCACCCCATGTCAATCCTCATCCGTGAAAACCCGCCCAGGGGAAAGTCTCAAAAACCCTGAGTTTTCCAGACATGCCTCCATCACTTTTCAACTTTTGTCCGCGCGAAATGTGGTCTTAGGTGTCTCCTTCCCAAATGGAGTAGGTGCCCTCTGTGCTAGCGTTGTTTACTGCTGTTATTAGAAGATCCCGCACGGGCTATCTATTGGGGTTAAAAGGAGTCTGGTACCAGTGTTTAGAAGAGTAGTCGATTGGCTTCATTTTATCTTTCATGATTGCATAAGATTCCCTCTACCAACAAGTCCACGGACTAAGTAGTGGGTTATACATTTCAATAAGACAGGCATTATCGAGAAGTCTTCAAATAGAGTTATGCTGGAGGTGGCTTACGACTTCGATTCGGAAGCGATTCTTTTTGGCTATCCCGGATATGCAGAGCATACTGAGCGATTACACCAGCACCAACGGAAGGTGAAGAATTAGTCTTTTCCGGCGTTGGTAGATAGAAAAAAAGTGGAAAGAAATCCCCTTGTGACAGGGGTTGATTTATTTAAAACTGGCGGTGACAAAAATTCAAGTTGTGGCCTTAGTTTCGGGCTTGAAATCCAGGACAAATGCCGGCAAAGACGAATTCTTCACCTTCCAGTGGTGCCGGTGTAATCGCTCAGTATGCTCTGCACATCTGGGATAGCCAAGAAGAATCATATCCAAATCGAAGTCGAAAGCACTCGCAAGCACATCTAAAATCGACGACTTCTCGTCAATGTCGGACCTATCATTCTCACACGAGTCCTCCATCCTAATCTTACCACACCAACCCGCCTCGAATACCGATAATGGCGTTACTCCAATTGCAATCGGGCATTTGCCTCATCAAAAATCGGCCATCTCCCACTACACATTTACGATGCTATGTATACCCGCGAGGAGGAATTCAAGTCATAATGTACAAAGCTCGGGTCTTGGTCTATGGGGGACCGTTACTCTAACAGGGCTTCACATCTTGAGGGAGGACAGGCAGCTGGGATGTGGGACCTACGAGTGAAGAGGTTACAAATGGGCATGCTGAGACGCTCATTTTTCGAGTTTCTTCGACTTAGGATTGTATCTGGGTGCAGAAGCAACGATTTTGGATAGTGTAACCGACACTCTAAAAATAGGCAACGATGGAAGGTGTTCTGGTCCGCCTCCTAGTCGTCATCTCCCCAAATTAAAGTCTGGGTAGCCTGGACACCTACCTCACTCGAGAAAGGGAGGACTGTGAGGCCATATCTCGCATGGAGGCTATATACAAGATGGCAAAGACATGTTAGGGTAGCCAAAGGTTTTTCATGTTTTCCCTTTGGTGGATATTAACGGTCGAGGGAAGGGTGAAAGTCCCTAACACCAAGGTCTTGAGTGGTATCAGCGAATGCACCCACAAAATGAGTAGTCCAAATGTCAAAATGATTTATTGTCGTATATAGTCGCCGGAGAAGCTAGTCTTCTCCGTGTCATGCTCTTTGAGCGCAGGGCTTGTGCCCGTTACGAATAAATTTTCATCATCATTGGTAACCCCTGTAGCAATCTAGGCCCTTATTCCATCCCTGCCGTACTAGCGCAGACAATACAAACCCGAGGACAAGGCCGTGTGCACAACCGCGGTGTCTTCTACAAACATGGAGGTGAAATATTCTCCCAGAGCCAAGTTCAGTTACATTTCGTAATACTAAAGATGTTGGCCCACGAGGCGGCGATTCAAGACAATCTTCGCCAAATTTAAAATGCCAACGAGACCGATCATCTCCAGGACCTCATTAAGCTTACAGGTTCGACTTAGTATATCCTCATTCTAATGACCACACCTCTCTTCGTCCTTCTCTGGCCTCAGTTGACTACTCAGTACACGCCCACGCCGATATTTACAACCGACGGAGGAAACAAAGCGTGGCGCACAAATCTAGGAGACAGTTCGTTGGGATGGACGTGAGAGGGATTAGGACAAGTTTACAAGATGATGCAGAGGAGGGATACGTTTTCGACGGGAGTGAAATTTCGAATTTTGCTAAGAGTTTTACGAATTGAGCTTTGTGCGTGCCAAGACCTCGCTTGCGAGAGTGCAGCTGACACTATAAAAATAAGCAGACAATGGAAGATGTTGTGATCCGCCTACAGGTGGTGTTCTTAGTATATTGTGAACCTGCAAGGGTGACAGGAGAGTAATTTAGGTGTATTCCGAAGTACATTGAGTTGTGAGCACACAACCATTTTCCGTTTGTACATCTTTCTATCTTCTAGCACATAATAAAGCGCGAAGCATCCTTACTAGTATCTATGATCAATTATCTACAAGCGCAGTATTTATAGACCATACTCTATTTACATACGAGAAGCAGAGTCAGTATTGATCCCCTAGGTGAACTCATTTCATAATAGTTCTCCGGTGTAGCCTGATTAGCCTGGGTACCTACTCCCCTTGGGAAGGAGACATTTCAGATAATTTTTCGCGTGGAGAAAAGTTGATGGATGATGGAGGCATGTCTGGATAACTCAGGGTTTTTGAGATGTTCCCCTGAGTGGGTATTTGTCAACGGCTAAGAATAACCACCGAAGAAGTTGGACAAAGACATGTCTCAGGTCAAAAATGGGGACTGTCCATACGTACGTGGGTTGTTTGTTTCGGTCAGTGCCTGCATTCTGTATTTAGAACTGCAGGTTATTCTATTTCTAGCGCATGTCTATATTTAGAGATCAAGAGATCAAGTCAATCATGATCAGTGTATATAGTCCTAGAATTCCGGGAGAAATAGAAAACAAGTTGTTTTACTGAGTTATCTTTTACTTTAATTACATACACTTCGCCTGTCATAGGTCAGGCTCCCAGTTACCTGACAGTATTCGCGGATGAGGTTTGACTTGGGGTGAAGGAAAAGCCACCACAACTTCGCAGTGGTACTTGCAAATGAAATACGAGGCACCAATGCTCTTCTTTTATATTGAGTCATCTTTTTGGTATATTTTCTCGGATATTGTATCATAGCTAGATAACTGCATACGGAATTAAAATCTGATTCAAAAAAAAGTACAAACCCAAGGGATTGATCCCGTTACGGCCTAAACGAAATGGCTTCTGCGTCTTTTCTGGCTTCAATTACATTCAGCACTATAAAAATAGATGCTGTCGGATGGGTTCTGTAAGAAAAGGCTTAGGGTTAATATGCTGCACGATGTATCAGAATTATCTGGTTCAAGGCAGAGATAGCCCACATCTTTCATGATTCTTGTGACAAGAACGAAAACTACAGCTTCAAATAAAGCTGTAGGGCAGCTGCGATAAAGACTCTGCTATGGATAATTTGTGGTTGAAATCGCTATCATAGACACACCAACTTTCATTAATATGTCTTGCACCTTATATATTATTATAGGCATGAGGTTCGGGACGGATTATAATATCGAGAGCGTGAGATAAACTTAGATCCGTAAAGGTGTCAGTTGAAAGATATAGTACCACTTTAACTACCCATTCTATTCCGGATCAAAATGGGGAAGGACGCATTACTAGAATTTTTGAAGACTTCCAGCTGCATAAGTGCACAAAAGGGATATTTAATAAGATTATTAAAAAGTAGGCATTAAAAGAAGTGGTCAAGTGCCATGATTTGTAATGTAAGGTAGTAAATATTTTTTGTTGTAAGTCAGAAATTAATCGTCGTAGCTATATAGCTGAGTAAAAAAGGAATTAAAAAAATAGTCAGCTACATGTATTTCGTAGCTCAAAACTATCGATGTGTGTAGAGCTTGTTATTCAATGAAACTCTATATCCTATGAATATAGAGTATTGTATACTTAAACAATCTTTTTTTCCCGCCTGGGCACTTGCGTGAACTTCATTACATAAGCATTACAACTTACCAGAGCCTCGAACGAGTTAAAAGATCTATGACTTTGGGAGCCCCAAGAAAGCTAGAATGTTTAGACTCATCGTCGATCACAGTTTAAAAGTAAATGCATTCACTTGTTTTGGTAATCAACGTGCATAAGACACTTCGAATTTGAGCGGGATTTTTATCAGATTTGATTTTTTTGACTACATTTTGTAAATCCCTGATCTTAGGCTACTTCGTAGTCAAACTCTCTGCCGCAGCTAGGCGTTGTTTGAATATTGCGGACAGGGGAGAGCTAACGATCTGTTCATTACATGTTTTATTGAATCAATTTAAACACCTGAAGATTCTGATTTTTTATCTGCCTCTCATCCTCATTTTTGAAGGCTTTGTAGCCTGAGATTCTACGCTTACATGAAGGAGGTATGTGTGCATACTCCTGGTGTAGATCTGGGTTTTACACGTCGTATTAGTTCGTAGAAACCATAATTAAAGGAGCTCCTTGAAAATTTCGGAGGCGCTATTGTAATATTATCGTTTATTCATCATCAATATCCTGGTGTCTTCCGAGAACTTTTTTTTTGAACAACTCTGGATTTTTATCCCATAGATCTGCAGCTTCTCCGTTCAGTGGAGATGAGCTAAGAAAGTTAGACATTCTCACATCATGTTGAACTTTTTTCTTACTTGTTTGGTTCTCCTAATAAACTTTGTAAACTTAATAAGATGGTTTGGATGTTGTATGCAGCAGTCCACTGATCTTTTAATATATCAAGACAGATGCGTCCTGAAAAATCAACATTTGGATGATAGATAGGTGTTTTGAAGGTGACTGTCGGTGCGGAATAAGGATAATTGGAAGGGAAATTAAAGTTTAGCTTAAATGTTAGCCCAAAGTATGGTGTATCCTCAGGACCCTCGATAGTAGCGGTCCAGGACATGAGGTTTCCGTCAGCTGAAGGAAATGCTGAGATGCCAGGCGCCGAACAAGTCATGAGCTGCATTAGCTCAGTCTGCAATCTATTCAAGTAAGCAACTCTCTCTTTACAGTATTCATTTCGTAAACCTTTTAGTTGTACTTTGTAAGTCAACATTTCTTCGAGAAGATTCAAGCTTCGTAGTTTGGGTCGACGTTAAGTTTGATGTGGATTCTAAATTTCGAGCATCAACATTGTGAGACATTCTGGAAAGTAGAATGCGCGGCGATAATAGTTATTTTTGCGTTTAAGAAAATATGCTTCGCAAAGAAATATGAATGAAGCAGAAGTAAAATTTAAGGTTTAGTCAGTAAATGAGAGTGTTTGCGTTTATGAAGATGCCTTATCTCTGTTTGTTTACTTTCATACACACTGTTTATATCCGTATCTTCGTGCCAAGGGAAGGAGTCTACCTCGGCTAACGTTATTTTAGGTAAGCTAATCTTCATCATGGCAAAACCTTATCAACTCCTTCCGGACAAAACTTGTGGCCACTATCGGAGATGATACAGCTTAGGCTTTACCTCTTAGCCGTAGAATATTTCAATAGGCTTAATATGAATCCACAGGTGGCTAACGAATGAATCTTAATTCTAGCCTCAGATACCCACGAACAGTTTTTACAATTTAGATCCAGCATCAGCTTTAGTAGAAATTCAAGGAGATACCTTTATTCAGACAGGTGTCTGCCCAATATATACTGATCCTTCGGAAGGCAAGACTAAACACCTGTCCGCAGTGTCCTCTACGAATCTGGGAGTGAAATATTCTCCCAGAGCCAAGTTCAGTCAAATTTCGCAATACTCAAGAAGTTGGCCCACGAGGCAACGATTCAAATTACTCAACCAGGTCAAATATTCACTCCCAAAGAGTTCGACTCCTATCTAGGTCACATCAGGCCTGCAAGTACGACCGAGTACATCCTTATCCCAATGACCACACCACTCTTCGACATTTTCTGGCCTCAGCTGGTCGCCAAATACACGCCCACGTTGATATTTACATCTGACGGAGGAAGCAAAGCGTGGCGCACATAACTGGGAGACAGTTCGTTGGGATGGACGCGAAAGGTATCAGGACAAGTTGACAAGATGATGCAGAAGAGGGATACGTTTTCGACGGGCGTGAAATTTCGAATTTTGGCAAGAGTTTTACGAATTGAGCTTTGTGTGCGCCAAGACTTCGCTCGTGAGAGTGCAGCTGACACTATAAAAACAAGCCGACGATGGAAGGTGTTGTGATCCGCCTCCTGGTGGTGTTCTCTGGTATGGTTTGAGTAGCCTGGGCACCTACTCCCCTTGGGAAGAAGACGCCTCAGACCATATTTCGCGCGGTGAAAAGTTGATGGATGACGGAGGCATGTCTGGATAACTCAGGGTTTTTGAGACGTTCCCCTGAGTGGGTATTCACGGATGAGGGTTGACTTGGGGTGAAGAAAAAGCCGCCATAACTTCGCAGTGGTACTCGCAAATGAAATCCGAGGCTTGAGTGCTCCTCTTGTAAATTGAGTCATCTTATCTGTACTTTTCTTTGATATTGTGTCATAGCTAGATAGCTACATACGCAATTAAAATCTGATGCAAAAAAAAGAGGCTTGTGCAGAAGCTCACCGCAATATTTGTCGAATACGTCGACAAGGCCTAAATGCTGCTAAAGAACGCCGTGAATTTGTCAAAACTGTCAAGAAAGCCAAGCGAGACTACTGGTGTAACAAGATTGACCAGGTAGCGAGTCTCACAGAAGCATATAAAATTACTAGGTGGCACAAGAAACAAACAGCCAGCCCTATGCCCCCTCTCGTTGGACCGCATGAACCTATAGCCACTCCTGAAGCAGAGGCTCAGACCTTCCGACAGACCCTGCTTGTCGAACCTTTTGAGCTGATTCGGAAGCTGTGATGATTGAGACTAGAGGTATCTGGAAGAATTGCTCGCACAGGAGCTTTCAATTGAAGTAAAATAAAAAGATGTAATTGTCTGTCTGTATGTCTTCCTTCCCCTTTCTCTCAGCTTATATATCTATACATATCTACTACCTGACATATGATGATAATATCTAGAAATAACTTCCTTATATCACAAGACACAATCTAAACATGATGTAGCCAAGATGTAATCCTAAACCGACTCAATACCAGTATACTACGTCCGTTACACCGACGCCAAGTATTTTCTAGCTGAAAATTACCGAAAACGCCAAGGTTTTCCTGAGGCGATCACAAATTATGTCAGGTACCAGCTTGGCATGTTATTCTAACAATAATGTTATGATCATGGTAGAAGAATGGAATTTACATGAATCACGAAACGTTAATTCAGGCATACGAATTTCATCGGGCTCTGATCCTGGTCTGACACTGCTGAATAGATTTTCGCCCAAGATGACATCCCTATCAGTACACCAAGTGTTGCCAGGACTGATCTCCCATGGCCTCCAATCACCGAGGAAGAAATATTTTGAGCATGCTGTCAGGTTTCATCTACAACCCCAGGATCCGACGAAATAACCCCGAATTCTCTCCGTCGAGCATGGCCAATAATTGGTTAGAGGGTGTCAGCTCTCTTCCGCCAGTGCGAGAAGCTGGAAATACACCCAATAGCCTTCAAGAAGTCTACAGTGATTATTCTTCCGAAATCAGGAAACCGAGATCTCAACTTCCCGAAATCCTATAGGCCAATCTCCTTCCTTTCATGCCTAGGTAAAGGCTTTGAGCGACTGATAGTACGGAGACTTTCATTTATAGCTCTGAAATATCGGGTACTAGCTAAAGACCAATGCAGTGCCATCCCTCTTCGCTCTGCTTCTGACCTTACTACAGCACTTGCTTGCGATATCCAGGAAAACTGGATGGAAAAGAAAGTAGCTGGTACAGTGACTGTCGACGTCCAAGGGGCGTTTGATGGTATCCAAAAAGGACGGTTTTGCTACAGACTTCGAAATCAAGGATGGCCATCAAACGTGGTTCGCTGGGTAGCATCTTTCATGGAGCAGCGAGAATACATCATCTCTATTGAAGATACTACCTCCCCGCTCTTCCAAACTCACTGTGGTCTCCCACAGGGCTCACCAGTATCGCCAATTCTATTTCTTCTAGCTATGGAAGAGGCAATACGTCTTTCCACCGGCCGCTTTGGCTATGCAGATGACATTGTCCTTTTCGTGTCTGCGTCCTCCTTAGACGAATGTGCACGTAAACTCCAGGAGAAACTAGATAGTGTGAGGAAACCAAGCTGGTTGTAGTGTACTTTTAGAAAGATTAAACTATATGAAGAGAGAAGTATCACAACTACGGGCAATGACTATTTGTACATCCTTCTAGCTCATCCAGTACGTACTCTGTTGGTGAGAATGACATATTGCTCCGCCACTGCCCGTCGTCATCTTTGCCATCTAGCTGACTCTCTCACTTGGCAATTCTACTTCGCCGTCTAACATTCCTTCCTAGCTTTAATGTAATGTGGCCAAGTGAAACTTAGTCGCTTGATACAAGATAATATGTAACACTCTCCCTAATACGCCCCCAAACTCCGCTTAGGTCTCCGCCTAAGCTAAACCACGGTAAAACCGTAACAGATAGCACTATAGCATGGGGTCTGACTAACGGAATTAGTTTCGAACTTCGTAAGACTGAGCTGCAATACTTTCACCGGAAGCGAGGCTCACCACTAAAGCCTACTCTTAGTATTGGAGGGACAACTATAACGCCCAATGACCACACTCGCTGGCTTGGAATATATTTCGACCGTGCTCTTCGGTTCCAATATCATACTATGCAGGCTTGCCGGAAGTCTCTAGCTATCACGAGCCATATGAAAAGACTGTCCACAACCACTCGCGGAATTAGCCCTCTTTTTCTAAGACAAGCTTTACAAGGTGCTGCCTTTGCGATCCTTTTCTACGGGTCCGAGACCTGGTACTCTAAACAGACTTCCCAAAAAATTATCTTGCAAGTCCAACATAGGATGAACGACGCGGCACGGGCAGCTCTCCCAGTCTACCGTACCACATCAATAGCAGCACTTCTACGTGAAGCTGGCTGGGGCCCAACTCAGACGTGGCTTAACAGAATTCACAGCCGTCTAGCGGTTTGAATTGCTGCAGCTGACCCCTATCACCCTCTTCGTAGGCGTTGGAACACTAGCCGCATGCGCTGGATCCGCCAGAGGATTTCACTAGAACTTTCCGAAGATACCATCCCCCCACCGTGGTCGTCATCCCGTGAAGAAAAGCTCATCGAAATTGGTGCAGTAGGTAGACTCCTGGGATCAAATCCCTTCAAACAGTGGTAGGCTACACGACCCATTCTAGACTTATTCGTATTTTCAGATGGAGCTCTCAAAGCAGACCGAGCAGGCGCGGGGTACGTGATCTATCGAGGCTTTACGCAGGAGATTGGGCGAGGATCACTCCCTCTAGGAAAATCAGCATAGGTCTATGATGCTGAAATTGCCGTGGCCACGGAAGGCCTTACTACAGCACTCCTCAACCCACTGGCTTTCTATGCCTCTAACGTCACCGTTTGTCTTGACAACCAGGAGGCCGCCCTCCGTCTTTTCTCTGATGTTCCCACAGCGTCTAGCTCAGCGAAAATCTTTCTCTTTCGCAAGCTTACAGCAAACTGGAAAAGAAGGTCACGCGGCCAAAACACAACGCCTGGGGAAGTGGCCATCTGATGTTGCCCGGTCCATGCAGGTATTCTGGGAAACGAAGCAGCCGACGCGCTTGCCAAAGCTGCTTGTGCGGCTCCAGCTCTACACTCGGTATTCTCTATTGCGAGGGCAAAAAGGGAAGTCAAAGCCCAGTACGAGGCTTCTGTTGCAATTTACTGGGCAGAAAATTCTCCATCTAGATATAAAAAATTAGGAATTGGTCCTAATACTAAGATTACTGCCGAGCTCGCCTGTCTAGGGCGATGCACACTAGGATATCTATTAGCTTCACGGTCTGGACATGGCGATTTCGCAGACTACCACCGACGGTTTCAGCACGAAAACGCCATTCTGACCTGATCATGCGGAGAAGAAAAGTCCGCCAATCACTTTCTCTATTGCCACCTTTGGCAGTACCAGGCACAGCTCCACAGAGTACAGAATCCTAGTCCCAGCATATCTTGGTCTCTCGCTTCCGCGGAGGGAGTTCACGCATTTAATAGCTGGGTGCGTGTCACAAATTTCTTTGGAAAAGCACAACAAGTCTGACCGAAAG